GATTAATTCAAAAATTACTTTAAAACATACTTTTACATTAGTGACTACAAATATACCAAAGAATATCTCATGAAAATATGAAGTACTTTAGAATAAGGTCCCACTTACTTATTTATCTTGTCCAAGTACAAGAAAGATGTTGAATCATGTATGGATAGTGTTTTCAGGACAGTACGTATACTTAACTTAAAACATGCTCTGAAAAACAGCATTTTCATAGAGATAAACATTACCAAAAACTACAGGCAGAAACTGGACTACATTTATTGTTTTAACTACATTAGTTTCTTCACACACACATTTACATAAAGATTACTACCTAAAAAACAGCCAAACTAACCAATAAAGTTTACTACATAAAAGACAGCCAAACTAACCAATAAAAAGGACTACCTGAATAACAGCCAACCAATAAAACACACTTACTAAAGATTATCTTATGAAACAAACTAATCAAGCAGATTATCTTAACAGCAAAGTACATATCTTCCAAACTAGCCACAAAGATTATCTTTGGAGCTAACCAAACTGAGTATTTTACAAACTAGCCACAAAGATTATCTTTGGAGCTAACCAAACTGAGTATTTTACAAACTAGCCACAAAGATTATCTTGGAGCTAACCAAACTGAGTATTTTACAAACTAGCCACAAAGATTATTTCATAACCTTATCAAACAAGATACTTTAAGAATTAACCAAAAACAGTAACTTATAAACTAACAGTACAAATATTCTGATAATCTACCTTGACAAATCAGTGGCAGATTAATGGGAGGGCAGACAGGGCTGCTGCCCAGATGCCCCAAGACAAATGGGGGTCCCAAATATTTTAGGATACTATACTGTATGTAAAGAGTGATTAGAGGACAGTATGACTGTGGACTGCTGTGCATGACACTCATTTTATAAAATAAGAACATTTTTAATCAGTTCCAGATTTATATATAGTAATATAGAAAATATTAACAGTGCATCCTATGTGACGAAGTAGAAATTTACCACTTCATTCAGTGTTATGCTGATGCGGGTAGGCTAAACTCAAGTCATAGTCGAAAAATGTCTAGTAAGGCTAATGTAATGTGGCTTGAACATAGCCTAGCTAATCATATAATTACAGTTAACTTAATTAAGAGTGACAGGCAGGTCTTGTTTAGTTAGTCTACAATTGATCTAACTTTGAGGCTATGTTAGGAATGAATGGCCTATGCTTTGTTGGCCTAACATGGGGTATTGGTTATGGTTTGACGAATTATCCATTGAAAATTTAAGTATGTTGGTAAGTCACATTGTTGCATTAAATTATGAGTAAACTTAGGACAAAACCATACATGACAAAAAATTTTCAAACAAGCTATTTTAATTATGGATACTCCAACACACATAACATGCATTTCAATGAAGTTACAGTCTGCTGCTTTAATTAATTTAAGTAATATTGTTTAATTATATACAAAAAAAGATAATTATGTTCCTTTGTGATTCGAAACAAATATTTTATATAAAATTATAACTGTTTTATTAGCAATTTTAATATGCATGAATTCTGTCTCTTAAAACACAAACAATGTGTATACATTTAGGGATAATAATTAAAAAGAAAAATATAATAAACTGAAAGAATAATACTTTATATTTATATATAGCAAAATAGATTACAAATAAAAATACAATGAATACAAAGAGTATCTTTATCTTCTTCACAAATGAACATAATTCAGTATAAATTAGTAATGTGTGTGTAGTTAAAATATTTAAATATTATATACACTAAATATACATCACAAAAGTATGTAATACCTACTGTTTAAATTTTATGAAACATTTTATTACATATATAGTAATTTAATTGCATTCTACACAATATATTATAATTTAAAATTATGTTTTAAATAGTGTCTGCCTTACAATTCTGGAGTTATGTAACATAGACTGTGGAAATGGAATTATCCATTATTATATTTATCATAAACATGGAAGAAGAGAGGTACCGCTAAAAGAAAGACCAAGGAAATCTCAAACTCAGAGATAAATGGCAAAAAAATCAAAGAGGCTAAATACTTCTCACTTAGTGTTGATTCCACTCCAGATCTGACTAACACCTGTGATAGTTTGCTATGTCCCAAAACTTACCATAATGTAGAAGAGAGGTTCTATCTATTAAAAGCCACACATAATATGTCTGGGTGTTATAAAGAAACTTATATATTCCAGGTGCTGCTCATTCCCTGAATTTGGTTGGAGCAGATTCTTGTCTTCAAGTAACAGCATTTCTCGCTAAAGCTATTCAGCGTGAGGATACAAAACTAGGCATGGCAGTTAACGTTCTAAAACGTTGCAAGAATATATAAATTCCTTGCACACTGATTTTAGTAGTCTTGGGACTAATCCTTAAGTGAAAGTGGATTTTTTAAATTTAAGTAATAAAAATTCGACCTTTGCAGGAGTATATACAGTATTTAATTAGCTATACCATTTCCAGGTTGATTTTTAGTTTTCCTTTAAGTACAAAGCTTGCTCTGATTGGAAGTTAATACTAATCTTGAACACCTCAATTATACCCCCATCTAACTTTTCATTTTTCAAGAGAAAACAATTTTAAAGAACTTATCCTGTCCTCGTATGACAACCTTTGCATCACAGTTATCATCCTAATAACTCTCCTATGAACCATTTCCAACGATTCAATGTCCATCCTAAGATAAGGAGCCCAAGACTGAACACAATACTCCAAATGTGGCCTAGCCCTAGACTGAACACAATACTCTAAATGTGGCCTAACACAATACTCCAAATGTGGTCTAGCCCAAGACTGAACACAATACTCTAAATGTGGCCTAGCCCAAGACTGAACACAATACCCCAAATGTGGCCTAGCCCAAGACTGAACACAATACTCCAAATGTGGCCTAGCCCAAGACTGAACACAATACTCCAAATGTGGCTAGCCCAAGATTGAACACAATACTCCAAATGTGGTCTAACTAGTGGCCTGTACAATGAAACTACAAACTCTTTATACTTATATTTAATATTTCTACAGATACAACACAATACTCCAAATGTGGCCTAGCCCAAGACTGAACACAATATTCCAAATGTGGTCTAACTAGTGATCTGTACAATGAAACTACAAACTCTTTATACTTATATTTAATATTTCTACAGATACAACTTTAAATCCTATTTGCCCTAGGACTAGCAACAACACACTGCTTGGATGGCTTAAGATTGACCAATCAACATTATAATTCAAATTATAATAACCAATTGAATTACCTTGCATTTATTGTAATTATAAGCCATCTGCCATTTATTTGCCCAAGTCATCAAATAATCCAAATTCTTTCGTAAAGCAACAGCATCCTCGTAACCAGCAACACACAAATCATCATCAAATCAAAATAATTTATTGACCATTCTCTCATCAATGTCACTGATATAGATCAAAAAGAGCAAATCTTAAACTGAGCCCACAGTTATCCCATTTATGAGATTAATCCAATTAGACTGAACTCTATTTATAAAATCCTTCTAATTTCTTCCATCCAGACATTTTTATATATAATGAGCCAGCTTATCCATCACACCTACACATATAACTTTTTAACAATCATTTTATGTGGCACTTTCTTAAATGCTTTCTGAAAATCCAAATTCACACTATTACCACATTTATATAAACAATAACCTCTTCAAGAGATTAGTAAGGCAAGATTTTATTCTAGTGAAACCATGTTGATTATCCAACAAAATTTTAAACTTTCTTAAATGACTTTGCCAGCAAACCTTCTATCTGAATTTCAAAACTTTTCCTCCAACTTGTGTAAGGCCAACAGATATATAATTACTGGGATAACTTTTATCATATCCTTTGGAAAAAGGAATAACAAATAATCAGGTACACTTACCTGGCCAGATAATCTGGCCCCTCCCACTACTCCATGTAAACCTACTAAAGTAGTCCCTCCCACTACTCCATGTAAACCTACCAAAGCAGTCCCTCCCACTACTCCATGCAAACCTACCAAAGTAGTCCCTCCCACTATTCCATGCAAACCTACCAAAGTAGCCCCTCCCACTACTCCATGTAAACCTACCAAAGTAGCTCCTCCCACTACTCAATGTAAACCTACCAAAGTAGCTCCTCCCACTATTCCATGTAAACCTACCAAAGTAGCTCCTCCCACTACTCCATGTAAACCTACCAAAGTAGCTCCTCCCACTACTCCATGTAAACCTACCAAAGTAGTTCCTCCCACTACTTTTTTGAGACCTCTTTTCTACTCACACCTACTTCTATTAAGTATGTTTATAACCAAAAGAAAGAGAACATTCCAGGGTACATAAATCTGCAGTCACTTGTAACTGGCTTGAAAGGAAAAGCTAAAGTTTTACTACAAATGTGTTGACTAAATCATTGCTATGGAAAAAATTAGATTTTTATAGCCATTATACAGCTTAGTTAGAGAGCCAGATAAATTACAGTGTTTTACGAGTACCAGTATTGTAATTTCATATTTTTTGGTTTTTTAAAATGAATTACTTTGGAACTTATGGTCAATATTAAAAGGAAAGAACAGTACTATTAATTTTATTTCACTTTTTTATGGTAATCACAAGGTCGGTCAAGTTGACCAAATGCATATAGAGTTAGGGTAAAGAAAAATATAAAGTTTTAGTGAAAAAAATGTTTGATATTTATTTAAGAAGTTTTGAATTATACAAATGATATTTGATAATTTTTAACCTTAAACTGAAAATCACTTCAGAGCAACCCACATTTTAACTTCATGTTAACAATACGACTCCATATGTTCAAGGACAAGTTTTTAGTAAAAATACTTAATTAAAATCTCCCATGTTTTGTGTACAAAAGACTTGTAATGTTTACAGATAGCTTGCCAAATTTCATGAAGATTGTTTGTTTGTTTTTGAATTTCACGCAAAGCTACACGAGGGCTATCTGCATTAGCCATCCCTAATTTAGCAATAAAAGACTAGAGGCAAGGCAGCTAGTCATCACTACTCTTTTACCAACAATGAATTGATTAAAATAATAAGCAATTACTATAACACGTATTGCATCTTGTCACTTAACTCACTCTCACCCTCGTTTAATAAAGGGGCCAAGAAACCATATTCATTAAAGAGGGGGCATGGGTGACAAAGGTTTGGGAAATACTGTAGTATACTACCCAAACATACAATCTAGTACACTATCCAAACACTAGCCAGGTATTATAAATAAACTACTTAAAAGGCTGAAAGCAAATAAAAAAAGAATAGCATGAAAGACTTATATATAAAGCTTAATAATCTATTATTAATCTACCAAAAAAATAGAATATTTTTCAGTAGTAGTTCTAAAATCAGGAATATTAAATTTAGATCTTTTTTAATAATTAACATTTTACACAATTAGGAACAAACTAAAAATCTTGATCAAGTGAGAAAACACAAACTCACTCAGTAAGAAGAAACACTTGGAATGCTCACACTGTGGACAATGCTGTCAGTTTTGAAAACAGAGATACAAATCTAAACTACAAAATTATTTTAGCATTATTAGTAATAGCATTATTTTATATTACTAATAGCATTATTAGTATGTATCTTACTTAATATTATACCCGTAAGAAATGTTTTATTATCAGCTATTAAAACTTTGGAATATTGAGCAAAGCTAATACGAAAACTTCAACTTCCATTAGGGAACTGAAATAAATTATTAACCAAAAATCATAAATCTTGGTTTATGATTTATTTTTAGTTACCTAGAAGATGCTGAAATGTTTGGAGAAGTTCAGTATAAATATAAAATTGAAACTGAATTTCCATTTAGTTTTCAAAACTGCTCTAAATATATATACGTGAGAGAAAGACATGAAAAAATATTAATCTAATCTTAGAGCTAAAATACAAAGAAAGCCTTGACAAAAGAAAGTATTTAAGAACAAGACTTATGAGATGGTAAACAGAAACAATACTGTGAATGTGCAGATCAAACCTCAGATAATCCAACTCTATACAAGTTACTAACAGTCAGGTTTATATGTACGTGATTCATACTACAGTTAAATTTAAAGAAAGTTGAACAAACATAAGTATATTCATGTGACAATCACTATAACTAACAGTGCAAAAATGATTAAATTTATGATTTCCAAAATTACAGTGACACCAATGGGACCATCATGGTATGGCTTTAAACATGGTGGATTTGTTGATATAGCTTCAGTTAGGTGGTTTGGTGTCTGAATTATTATCATCCAATCCTCCTTTTAGTTTCCCCCTGTCATGCAGAAAAAGAAGTGGAAGCATGCCTAATAAACATCCAAGGGTGATACCGATAGCTCGACCCTAGAACAACCAACATCCATCACAAGTACTGAAACTGTAGATCTTAATTAAGAGACAAATTATTTAGTAGCTAAAACCTTATACAACATAACTGGATGATTAACAATTGTACTTTATTAGTTTTTGATTGCTTAATCATTTGTTGAAATAATAATAACTAACATACAAATCACTCATCAACAATCAATGTTTAGGTACTAAATTGCCATTTTATGTTGTTCTTTCCGAGACAGTTTAGTAAGTAGAATTAACTCTGGATATTTTGGATTAGGAAATTGAGCAAAACACTTGTGTAATTAGTGAGAAATAATTAAATAGTTCAATAATTCAGACTAAATTATCACTAATGTTAAACACATTTGGTCATCAAACTACAATGAGGCGTAATCTTGAGCGAGTATTTAACACGAAAAAGTAACCAACAGTTTAAACAGATTACTTCTAAACAATCAAATCATTAACTAATTTTTTGAATTTTGAGAAAGAGAGCTAATAATAATTAGGTAACTAAAGTTATTTGTTTTTGTGATGAATTTTATTTTACTTTCTCTAAATAATTAGCCAGAACAGTTTTTAATCAGTAGCAATGTTTTGTATTTCCTCAGTTTATAAATTAAATATCCTTTTCCTTTGAGTGAAATGATTACAGTGCTTGCTTTTCTGAATAACAAAAACTGTTATATTTTTAGTCATTCTACATAATTAATGTTTACATTAACAATTACCATGTTTATACTCCACTGAGTGGATGACATCTCTAACTGTGTTGGGGTCAGTTCTGGCATATGTACTCCAACTCGAGATGCTAAACTTTCAACATACCATGCTGAACTGAGTACAGAATAAAATAAAAATATTGAAAATCAGTACTATTAAAACTTTTATGTGCAATCAGAAAATATATTCTAAAGAAATAAATATTCAAAAACCAGAAAAATTATTTGTATACACATACATACACAAAAGAACCATACTAAATAATACATTAAACCTGTGGTGAGAACAGCTACGTTACAATTAGAACAAGTCAGATAACAAGATGCTCTTCTGCTGAAGTAAGCAAACTTTATTTATTTCAACGTTCAATTGTCCAAGTGGAAGCTAAAGTAAATGACAGACACATGTTACCATACATAAACATGTTCTTCACTGTAATATATAGTGGTTCAAGTGTCAAGTCTCACATTTTGTTCTTAAAAAATGTTTCTTATTACATTAAATAAAAACTGCTGCAAAGTAATATTTACTAAAAGCATTCACATAATATTTATTCTGGTATGGCCCTTGAATTTAGACAGAAACATTATCACACTGACTGTACATGAACATACAAGCATTACACAATCTACATGATAAATATCTCGATCTCAAGAGTACACCATAGTTTCAAAACCAAACCAAAACTATTAATCAAATTCTAATATCTCGATCTCAAGAATACACCATAGTTTCAAAACTATTAATCCACTTCTAATATCTCGATCTCAAGAGTACACCATAGTTTCAAAACCAAACCAAAACTATTAATCAAATTCTGCCACATTTCATATGCTCATCTTTACCCCCAGTCTTCCAGCATCTTGTCTATTACTTAGTAAACATGGTGCTATTTTAGCCTGTGGTAAACATGGTGCTATTCTAGCCTGTGATAAACATGGTGCAATTATAGCCTATGGTAAAGGGGGGATTTTTGAACACCTTCCTCAACTGTGCTCTCTTTGTTTGAAATTAAATGGTACATTTACATGATCAATAATGCTGAATCTGGCCTATTAATGATCCCAGCCCAAGCTGTGTTAAACCATATATGCCTCATCCTGTGAAAGAAGCATCTATGAATAGGTGCAACTTGGGATGGGAAGGAGATAAAGGAACACCACCAGGAAAATTCGACCTGGTGGGAAGAAGGGAGGAGGATGGAATCCAAGATATCCCAAATGAGATTCCATTGATTGTGCAACACCCACTGAACACCACACGTGTGCACAACCCCAGGGTATAAGGGCTTTCAGTGATGCTCAAATCTTCAAAAGAGAGAGAGCCTTACATATTGAGAAGGAGAGGATTTGGCTTTGAAAACCAAGAGTTCCATCAACATCAAACAAAGAGAGCACTAAGGAAGGTGTTGAAAAACACCCCCAAATGCATCATATACTGTGTGGTGTTGAGATAAGGCTTCTCCAGCTTGACTAGCCACACCATCTGAGCAGCCTCCCAGAGAAGGAAATAGGTCTGAATGAAAAAGGGTTGTTAGAATGGAGCTAAAAGTAGCCAGTCGTCCAAGTATTGATAGAACTGTAAATCCTGGCAGGCAAAACCTCTGACCATACAACAGAAGACATAAGATGCTGATGCCAGCCCAAAAGGTAAAGCATGGAATTGGAAAACATAGGTAACGTCTCAAGGCTGGAAAGATAGGGATATGAAGGTATGCAACAGAGACGTCAATGTTCATTATCCAGAGATACAGAGTGAATGCCTACATAAGTGTGAGGAAAGATACCATGGTGAACCGAGGGAGGTCAATGAAGTAGTTGAGATTGGATAGGTCAATGACAGGACACCAATCCCAGGTCTTCTTGGGAACAACAGACAACTGGGAATAAAACCCCAGAGTAAGGTGACTGACAGGTTCGATAGTGTTCTTGATCAAAGATCTCGAACTGTTTCTGATAGGCACTGGCATCAAATGAGATTTTGTGGAGGAGGGAAGGGAATGGAAAGTGGAGATAATGAAGGAGGAGCCCAGAAACAAAGGGAGAATCCTTCTGACAATATGTGAAAAAACCACAGACCTGTGATAAATGGGTACCACAGATAAACAAACCTGTCCAACCAAAATCCTACAGTGCCAGAAACAATGAGATAGCTACTGACACCACTGGTGCCAGAGCATGTATTGATGAGTAATATTGTGACTCATTGCTAAAACTCAGAAAGGAGGCATTGGAAGAGGGGAGGAAGCAGGAGGGTGAGACACAGGAATGGGAGTAGGAGATGGCTGGGAGAAACAGGAAACTAAGGAGAAAGGGGAGAGATGTTGATATGTGGGTACCAACCACCGTCGACTCAAAAGAGTCAGGATGATTTTCAAATATAGACTGGTGCAAAACAAAGGTCACAAAAGTGTATCCCTACCAAGGAGATCCCAACAACAAAGGAGCCAAGCATGAAGGGAAAGGGCAGAAGATAAACACAAAAAGACAAAAGGTTGGGACAAGTATCCTCTGAAAACCCCTCAGGGGAATGGTGGATAGGCTCAAAAAGGAGATGAATGGAGGAAAGATGATGAAGGATATTGGTTAGGGTAAGACAAAGACGTGAAAATTGGGCTTGGGAAAATCTCAATGTAGTTCCAGGGCTGGAACCCCACACTTGAAGTAAAGACTCCAATGTCTGAGACTCAAAAAAAGGATGATAAGCCAAAATGTAAGAGACCAAAAAATTTGAAGGATGAGGCATGTTGACCCCCAAGCATAATTGGGCCTGAAATTGATCAGCATAGATCCAAATATCAGGAGAAGGAGGGAAATCCAAATAATTCAAGGAAGGAGCAGGATGTAGGAGGGAGGGAGAGGAATCATATAACAAAGGGGAAAGAGATAAAAGGTAAAATACCTGGGAAAGCATGTCTGTGAAGACAGTGGAAGGTCGTGGAACATCTAAAGGAGTAGCATGAGACTGCACTGCAAATAAAACAAATTCCACAAAACTAAGTGATCAAACAACAAACTAAGTTGTCAAAAAAGTCGCAAAAGAATCGATAATGCACGATTGAAATAAAATCATGCTAGAAAAAAAATACAACAACACACTAGAATGCCAAATCGAGAAGTGATGATAGTGCTGTACAGTATAGGGGGCGTCAGCTGTGCTAGGAGGGTGTGTTGTATGTTAATTTGCATGCTACAGCACAGCTATACCATGTGTAATCACGTGAGGGTATGTGGAAGCATCAAGGCGAGCAAAAACTGTGCATATAGAGGGCAGCACAAGTCGAGAAAAGCTATTATGTGAGAGAAGATAAGGTATCGTATTGGAAATGGTCTATCTCTAAATATTAATTTGTCAAGGAATTTTAATTTCAGTCTGTAGTAAAATCATTCTCCATGACCTAGATTTAGGAAGACAAAATGAAGCCTTGTCAATAGTCTTTACACCCCGTTTAGACAATAAACTAGTTGCTGTTTAGGTAATCAATTACAAACATAATAATTAATGGTAAACAAAGAGATTGGTATAGATAAACCATGAAATTTCCACAGTGACATACTAAATGTACCAGAATTAGCCTGTATAAAATTTTTTGTACTGATGGTAATTTATCTTTTTGCCATCTATGTTTTAAAACCAGCAATACATCATACGAAACTCCCACAATTTTCCTTTTTTTTCTCAGAAAAATGAACTTTCCTGATGTTTTCCAGACCAGAAACAAAATATGAAATTCACTGACTTTTCCAAGTTTCCTAGACCTGTCGGAACCATGGATATAGAGGCATCATTAAAAAGGTAATGAGATCCAGTTACAGTTGAACTAAGACAAATTTTTAACACACAGTTAGGAATGAAACAGTTTTCATTAGGAAGAATTTTTATCCTCCATTCTGGAACACCTCTGTCATTCTTCAATATTCTTGTCTTTAATGCAAACAATGCTATACAACACTCCACTTTAAACTCACGGAGTGGACATTACATTCAATAGTTTTTGATACAACACTCCACTTTAAACTCACAAAGTGGACATGACATTTAACAGTTTTTGATACAACACTCCACTTTAAACTCACAAAGTGGACATGACATTCAATAGTTTTTGATACAACACTCCACTTTAAACTCACAAAGTGGACATGACATTCAACAGTTTTTGATACAACACTCCACTTTAAACTCACGAAGTGGACATGACATTCAACAGTTTTTGATACAACACTCCAGTTTAAACTCACGAAGTGGACATGACATTCAACAGATTTTGATACAACACTTCACTTTAAACTCACCAATAGTGTAAACAAAATCAGCCTAAACTCAAAATTAGTTTATTTCCATACCTAGAAGTACAAGAATATGTTATACTTACCAAACTGTGGTGCTACTCTTATGTCTCACTCTTCCCTGACAATTTGTAAATCTCCCTTATTAATTACATATGAAAATATTCTTACAGTTTTAATTACAAGGAAATGTAATTAACTTGTAGTACATTTACTTTTGATACCTTATTCTATGTATATGTATATATGAAGCAATGATACAAAATAGAGTAAATTCATATTTTCAACAAACATAACAGGAAAACCTTGGTCAAAAATGATATTCTAGTTCTTTATACAATCATCCAAATAAACTGATTTAGACTACAGTTACTTATAAAGCTACAATGATATTATTACAAGCTTACCCAATGCCTGCTATATCAGAAAGAGTGTTACCTAGGCCTGCAGCTGCATTGATGAAAAGAAAAAACATTTTAACAAAGAAATAAAAATATATGATGAATGTATAGAATAGACAGGACATTATGAATTTTCTTTTAATCATGTATAGACACTTACAATTACAAGAAAAAGGTTCAAATATAATTTAATAACAAATTGTATCTAAACATCTTATTCATAACTTTTCTTAAACAAAAATAACAATACTCTGATTAATTAAAAGTAAAAACTAGTGAAAAAATTAATATTAAGGGAGAATTTTATATATTTTTACATAGATCTTTAAAACAACTTTCATATCACAAGTGAATCTGTCAATAAGAGATTTTAAGGTCTACCAGGCTATTATTAAGAAAAAATAGGGTAAAGTAATAGGTTGTAACATAAAAGGATTTAATAGGCTCATTAGCCAAAAATATAGACATTTATAAGTTTTCTGCCTAATTTCATTAGAAATAACCAATTTTCAAACATGAACCTCTCATAAAATTACGATATCAATTGGACCAAATGTTATTTTTAGAAGTGATAGTTTATCGCACGTTTGTTTACGTAACTGTACAGATAATATATTGTGTAGTTCGATTGTTGTGAACTGGTGCTTGTTGTATTATTGCATCATGTTACTAGAACCTTCTAAGTTTTCTCTTGTGTTATTGCATCGTAATATTTCGTAGTGTAAGGAAAGTTCTAGGCCTCTGTTAGGTGTTATAAATAACTGTCCAAAATGTAGTTCCAATGAGTTAGTATGTTAGTGAGAGATACAGTTAAATAGATCTAGACTGTGTGCTTGTGAGTTTAGCCATAAAGATAATATAGCAGCAATTTTTAAAGTAAACTTTTCACAGATTATATTGCAATAACAGAGAAGGGAAGAATAATTTGTCTTGTCAACTGTGTTCTAGAGTAATTGAATCAGCCTGTGTGGAATTTGACAAAAAAAAGAGGCAATTATTTAAAACTCTGGATACAATTGTGGTAACTAACAGTTACAGTGGTGATTTTGAAGTGAAATTATCACAAACTGTATTGTAATAACAGAGCAGGAAGAACAATCAGTCTTGTCATATTGTGTTCTAAAATAACTGAACCAGCCTGTGTGGAACTTGATGAAAAAGAATTATTTAAAGCTCTGGATACAACTGCGATAATCCACGGTGTGATGAACATTTGTATACATTTTTGACTTGTTTTGATATATTATTTTAAAGCAAGTGAATGTGAGCTCTTTGTTCATTGTTGAAATTTATTGCCAACAAGTCATAGACACCTACTATAAAGAATAAGGCCCATCCATAACATACACCCGTTCATAAAATCTGATGCCAAAATAGGTTTCTCATGTTTATCAAATATAATTTATCAATTTATGGAGATTTTCTTATAGACTTTGTTTACAGTAAAGAATCTGATCCCTTTCTAAAAGTCCTGTTTTTAACATCTTTTGTGAAAAATATAGAAGTGTAAAGAAGTTTGGTTCAGGTTGGTTAAAAAATATAGGCTTTAGAAGTCACCTATATCAATAAAAATAAGACCACATTCAAAATATATGCTTTAATAGCTTCACTGGAAGGCTTGGATTTGTTTTAAAACTAGAATAGCTCATTAAGTTCAGTCATATGACCAAATTAGCATATAATTTGTTTTGTTACCTGCCATTGTTGATATTCCTAAAGTCAGGCCAATTGTGGTATCAATGTAATCTCCCTGGAAAACAAAAGTACAAGTATTAACTCAAGGCAGACCTGGGCAATTAATTCAATTACCCGTGAGCATCTCCTATACTGTTTAGTGTCACGTACAATAATCAATGAATCGAATCTACAATTAAATCAATTAATATCAAAGAAAGAATCAACTAATTGAAATTAGTGTTTCAAGTTATTTTTTTCCAACTATACAAGTAATCAAAATACTGCCATTAGGATTTATTATTAGTATTTTTGATTAATTCAAGATTATTCAGCTTAATCAATTAGTGTCTTGACTCACAAACTAATTAACTACTCAAAATAATGTTCCAAATTATTATTATTATTACTTTAAATTAGTCCACCTATCAGAACCAATGTACAGATGGAATACATATACTATGATGTTTGGTTTTGTACATGTACAGATGGAATACATATACTATGATGTTTGGTTTTGTACATGTACAGATGGAATACACGTACTATGATGTTTGGTTCTGTACATGTATAGATGGAATACACGTACTATGATGTTTGGTTTTGTACACAAACAGATGGAATACACGTACTATGACATTTGGTTTTGTACATGTAAGATGGAATACATGTACTATGATGTTTGGTTTTGTACATGTACAGATGGAATACATATACTATGATGTTTGGTTTTGTACATGTACAGATGGAATACACGTACTATTGTTTTGGTTTTGTACATGTACAGATGGAATACATGTACTATGATGTTTGGTTTTGTACATGTATAGATGGAATACACGTACCATGATGTTTGGTTTTGTACATGTATAGATGGAATACACGTACCATGATGTTTGGTTTTGTACATGTACAGATGAAATACACGTACAGACACTGTAGATCAGAAATTTCCAAATCAGAAATAGTTTGGCTTGTTCTCTCTTCTCCAACGACAGAGAAAAACATTTTTAGTAATTTCTTTCGACATTTCTTTTCTTCAGTTATTTAACATAACAATATTCATGGACAACAAGGGACCTATTGGTCCATCTAGGCTGTCCCATCTTCTAAACTAAATTAAAAACTATTAAAAAAAACTCAAATCCAGCCCTTATCATTCATATAGTTATCAAACTTTCTCTTGAACTCACTTAAATTTACTACCTCCACAACATCCGAAGGCATCCTGTTCCAAAGCCCAACCACCCTGTTAGAAAAATAGAACTGTATTAGCTGAAGATGACTCCTACCTTGCCAAAATTTATATTTTTGTCCCCTTGTCATACTATTCTGATTATTAAATATGAAAAAAGATGATTCATCAACACCATCAATCCCCTTAACAATCTTAAACATTTCAATCAGATCCCCATAACTTTTCTTTTTTTTAAGAGAAAATTTCAGAGATCTTCATATGACAACCCTTTTATCCCAGGTACCTTTCTAGTAACCCTCGTCTGAACCCATTCAGACAATTTAATGTCCTTCCTAAGGTAAGGAGCCCAAAACTGAACACAATACTTCAAATGTTGCCTAACCAGTGACCTGTACAATGAAATTATAGTGTCGTTAGACTTGTATTCAATAATTCTGTAGATACAGCCTAAAATACTATTTGCCCTACCACTAGCAACAGCACATTGCTTGGATATCTTTAGAGAGTGATCAACTATTAAACCAAGATCCCTTTCTTTCATGACACAGTTAAGGTTATTCCCATCCAAATTTTACTTATGATTCAAATTATGATAACCCACATGCATTATCTTGCATTTATTATAATTATAACCCATCTGCCATTTAACCCTCTCACTGTGGTTGGAACATATATTTCCCAGCCATGGTGAATGGGTTAGTCACCCAGCTCACTAAATGATCTAAATCCATTTGTAAATCAGCAGAATCCTCTTCACAGTTACCAACACCCAAGACCTTAATATCATCAGCAAATTTAAATAATTTATTGAATATTCGTTCATCTATATCATTGATGTATATAAAAAAAAAGAGCAAAGGTCCTGAGACTGTGCCCTGAGGTACTGCACTTGTGACATTAATCCAGTTTGAACTTCATTTGAAACAACCATCTGCTTTCTTACATCCAGCCACTCTTCTATCAAATTGCTAATTTATCCCCCACATCTTTTGAGCTTTTTTTTTTAACAAGCCTTTTATGTGGCACCTTGTCAAATGCTTTCTGAAAATCTAGATACACTAAATCTACACCCTTACTCTCATCTACATAAGAAGTAACATTTTCAAAGAATGTCAAAAGATTTGTAAGGCATGATTTTCTCTTTGTGAAACCATGTTAACTATCTAATAAAATTCTAAACTTTGTTTAATGACTTTGAAAAGCATCTTTCAACAGACTTTCCAAAACTTTTCCCACAACTGATGCAAGACTAATGGGTCTATAATTACCGGGACAATTTTTATCACCTCCCTTGAAAAGAGGAGTAACATTAGCTAACTTCCAATCCTCTGGAATCCTGCCCACTATTCAAGAACTGACAAAAAACAGTAGCAAGTGGCTCACATATCCGATCTTCAACCTCCTTCAAAACTCTTGGGGAAATATTATCTGGTCCAGGAGCCTCATCATTTTTTAAACTTCCCAAACTGAAGAAAAAGCAAGGTTTAATAGCCCAGCCATCTCATAATCATCAGATATGAGCCTTCCTTTATTATCCCTCAAAAATTCTACCTCATCCTAACATTTTGTTTACCCTTAATATATTCAAAGAAATCCTTACTGTTAATTTTTACACTTTCAGCCAGTTAAAAATAACAGCAACGAAAATCAACTTACTGCAATGATCATTATAAAGTTATCCAGAAATCCAAATCCAACAAATGGAAGTGCATAGTGTATGCCAATAGCACGAAGCTGTTGAACAGTTGGGGGACAATTCTGATCTTTTCCATGAAAAAAAATTATATATTTATTACTAAATAAACTATTCCAAAATATTCAAGTTTTTTTTTGTCTGTCTTTGCTGTAAAAACAGTTAAATGTACCAATTTTTTATTTTTAAATTTTCTTCTTACTAACTTTCTGTGATGATCATTTAGTTCAGTGATTTTTGTATTAGGTCCTACCTAAAATCATAAATATGAAATTTATCAATTTGTTTTTAATATAACAACAATAAATACAATGATGTGTTTAAAGATTATGTATATATATACATAAATGCTTTGTTAGTTTTAATAATACAATAATACTCAAAGTATTGTTCTACCTTTCTCGGCTTGTGACTTGCTTTGAAAAGCTTGAAGCTCCTCTAGTAAAACTTGTCGTTCCGCGGTATTCATAGAGTAAATAAGATCTTTCACATTATTAACATTAACTACCGCTGGTATTTCACGTCTTCCTTGATATTTTCTAAATCCTCTATACGTAGCTGATGCCGAAAATCTTTGACGCATATTTGAAGACAAGTTTTCTACAGAACGCAAAGAATTACATTTAAAAAATAAAGATTGACAACTCCGTAAAACCGTCTTCACAGTCAGAGCCATTATTAACTCGCCCTCTGAAACGCCATCTGCGTGTATATAAACATTTAAAGTTTTAAAAGAACAAAACAGAAGTATTATTTGTTGTAGTACAATAAGTTTAATCAATCCATCAATATAGATACTGTTACGTATCTGCTCGCTTGTTAATTTTCGGAATAAATTCTTTCCGAGAAACTTTAGCGATACCAGTCATTTCTTTGTTTAAAATAGTTTATTCTTCTTCGATACAACTTTTTGTAATACACAGAATTTCCACAGTTTGTTTGTTTTTTTTAATTTCGCGAAAAGTTACACGAGGGCTATCTGTGCTATCGGTCCCTAATTTAGCAGTATAAGACTAGATGGAAGACTGCTAGTCATCACCACCCACCGCCAACTCTTCGGCTACTCTTTTACCAACGAATAGTGGGATTGACCGTTACTTTATAACGCCCCCACGGCTGAAAGGACGAGCATGTTTGGTGTGACGGGGATTCGAACCCGCGACCCTCAGATTGCGAGTCGAGCGCCCTAACCACCTGGCCATGCTGGGCCCAATTTCCACAGTCACTTTAAACTTAACAACCTTTATAACATACGCTATAAATCACATTGATTCACACACTTTACTTACAGTGCCTACTGTTCGCTTGACTCAATTATCTATGTCTATATCTATCTATATCGCTAGCTTTTTTTGCCAGCCTTATAAACTATAAAAAGAGGGCGTCTAGCAAACACTCGGACATGCGCGGGGCTCCCTGGTAATTCGAGAAACTCCAGTGCGCATTCTCTCAGCGTCACGCGACTTCCGCTGTTGTAACACTGACCCTTCCTTAGTAAAGTTCGTCCCTAACAATAGCCACTTACATTAAACCAATAGGTAATTAACAATAACTTAATTAAATGTACAGAATTTACAAACATAAAATTAAAATACAGCAAAGTCTCTTAATTTTACACGATGTCTCTTCTTTCGTACTAGTCTCTGTCTCGTTGGCTTCTGCTTAACGTGGTGTTACGACAGTGGAAGTCGCGCGACGCCTGGAGCATGCGCTGAAGTTCTAGAAAGATCGTGACTGTTCCTCGCAACTCTAGGCTTTTCTAGGCATGCTATGTTCTCGTATATAAGCCGGCAAATAAAGTGACGGCGGAAAGATAATTGCAGACAGAAAGATATAGAGACAGATAATCGAGTCAAGCCGTAAGTAAAGTGCGTGAATCGTTGTAAATTCTAGCGTGTGTTTAAGTTAAAATGACTGTGAAAATTAATTGTATTGCAAATTTGTATTGAGAAAGAATAAACTAGTTTTATTTAAGAAAGGACTTGTATTACTGAAGTTTTTTGGAAATAATTTCTACGGAAAATTAACCAACGACCAGAGACATAACAAATTGGTGTCAGAGAGTGGGACGAAAAAAAAAAGGAAACGAGAAGTGGTAGATCAAACTACAGCTTAGCAGATTTGATGGCAGCAATACAAGAGCAGCAAAAAAAAAACAAGAGAGATTACAGCAGCTGTTGGAGGAAAAATAAAAGAAACAAGAAAAACGAGAAATGAAACAAGAAGAACGAGAAAAGAAACAAGAAGAGAGATTACAGCAGTTGTTCGAGGAAAATAAAAGAAACAAGAAGAACGACCAGAGACATAACAGTGGGATTCATCTGCTCCATCAGGAAATGTCCATTATCGGTAACAGTCACAGTAGTGGTAGTAGCTTCATTAACGGCTTCACTGTTTTCCTTCTCAAAACCGGGTAGAGTTTCTTCTTCGACAGTGGCATTTTCAGATGATACGTCTTCAGCAGCGTTATTAGTTCCGTTGTTCACTTTGTTCCAACTGAAATGTCCTGGACCGTGATAACGCCAAAGCCTGTTGGCATGCACCACCTTCAGCTTACCTCGCTAATCACATTTATTCGGAAAGTCACGTCTGAGAGACGATCCACTATATCATATGGGCCTTTCCATGGAGAAGACAACTTAGGAGACTTCCCTTTGGTCTTCCTGAGATTATACAACCACACCTTGTCTCCTGGTACAAAGCAGACTTCAGTAGATCTCTTATCATAACATAGCATCATGGAATCAGCGTGACCTTGTGTTCTCAAACTCTCAAGTTAAAGTGACCTTATATACTCAAACTTTCAAGTTAACATGACCCTGTGTTCTCAAATTTTCAAGTTAATGAAAACTCACAGGTTAAGTATGCCTACGTATAGAATGTGAAACAGTCACTTCCAATTAGCTAGTTAATTTGGTTGTCAAGTTAATTTTTCTTTTAATATTAACTTATTACAAATTCACACATCCAAACTGTCTAAAGGCACCAAATACTCCTAACCACAGATGGCTATACAACTTGAGAATTAAAGAAATAAACTCGAAAGCTGTATTTGATATTAAAACATACATATGGAAAGATTAGCTTAATAAATGAACTCCAATACAACACAAACATCTTACTTTTTTGATAATTAATAGGATCACCTGCTAGATATTGCCTTCTATTTCCAACAGCCAAGTGTTTACTTTATAATCTTAAGAATTTACGTCATTCTTCGTGTTTTCTACTTCATCAGAAGAAAAGCCAGTTGTTTATATGATATTGTTACAACAGCTGAAGTCACGTGACGCTGGTAACACGTAATGGGTATCTAGAAGGTTCCTGAAGACTCGAGACACCCTCTATTTTGCATATATAAGACCGGCGAGAAGTGACGGCTTAGATATATAACTGAATATAATTGCAGACAGAGAGATATAGAGACAGATATCGAGTCAAGCCATAAGTAATGTGCGTGAATCGTTGTGAATTCTAGCGTGTGTTAAGTCAAAGTGACTGTGGAAATTAAATGCATTGCAAAGTTGTATTGAGAAAAAATAAACTAGTTTTATTTAAGAAAAGACTTGTATTGCTGAAGTTTCTCGGAAAGAATGTCTACGAAAAATTAACAAACGAACACAGACGTAACATTATTTATTTATTTAATGAAGTCTAAGAAAACATGGGGGGGGGAAATAATTGGTTGGATCAGTTTCTGTATAAAGTTGAACATCTCGAAAATATTTTAATCGTAGTACATAAATGTAACATGATCAATCCATAATTTGAAAATACCTCTTATTTATCTCTGATTGTTAATAGTGTTACGTCTTCGT